CTCTCTCTCTCTCTCTCTCTCTCTCTCTCTCTCTCTCTCTCTCTCTCTCTCTCTCTCCTTTATGCCAAGTTCCAACTGACTATATTTCCTGTCTAATGTGCTAAGTATATAGAGTTAATCTGCTCTCCAGCTTCATCTGTCAGATCAGATTCCAAGCTCCAGTCTTGTACACTCAAATCATGTGGTAACCCACTGCTCCTCTGTCAATCTTGTCTCTGTCATATATCCTAATTTCATTAACTATCTTTCTTTATGAAAAGATTTTTAGAGTGTGTTTGTGTGCATTAATTTATACGTATTCATGTGTGTGATCATCCCCTCACCAGTAACTGCAAATTAGAAATAGATACTAATACATTTAATATATAAAATTGAACAGATTCTATAGGTTAGTTATTGTTTTATCTATTTGATAACCTCTTCATACACACAGTGCTTTTGGTGATCAAATAAGAGTGTTCTCATCATTCACCTATTTTGAGTTCTATAGTTCTGTTTTTCTGTTTGTTTCTTTCTGTTAGAAGAAAAGTCTCTGGGTACTAGGCATGGATCTAGTTGGTGAGACTAGATTTGATTAATAAAATTTCAAATATAGAAAACTGTACTGTTCTGTATCCATATAATATATACTAAACATTTTAAAATGTTATACAAAAAGATTTGGAATATCACCAGCTTAAAGGAGGATAAGTTTTTGAGAAGAAGAAGGTTTTAATCCTGAATTAGACATATTACAATATTCAAAATATAAATTGTATTTTGGTAAATATATTCAAACTTCTTACTTAGATGTCAATTTATAAAAATTAAATAAACTAAAAATTTGAATGTATGTTGTTCCAAAGAATATAAATCATTGTGCAAAATCTAAAGAAAAATGTGCTCCATGACAACTGCAATCATGAAGACTACAGCTCAAAGCCATAATGAGAGGCTCAATGTCAGCTGAAAGGATGGTGTTTCAGCAATAGATAACAAATACTGGCAAAGATTCGTAAAAAGTAAGGCTCTTCCCTCCTTCTTGTGGATGTATACCATGAAAAATTTAAAAATCCGCATGAGTGTTACAAAGACCACCACTTGATCCAATAAGTATATCCCAGATTTTTATGCAAAGTTCTAGAAATCAAACTCACAAGCTCATGAATGTCTTAGTGCTTTAAAATATTACCCACAATAACAAAATATGGGAGAAAATGTTATGTTCATTGTCAGATGTCTGGGCAAAGAAAATGTGATATATTTATATAATGAAATATTATAAAACCTTAAAATACATTGATTTTAACAACATATATGAATCCTGTTAGAATTGTCTTAAGAAAAGAAAGATATTGAAAACCTAACATTATCAAACTCAGAGTTTTATTAAACTTTCCTTCTCATGGAACCCATTGTATAAGAAATTCTTGTCCATTATTTCTGGTATTAAATATATAAAATAAGTATATAAATCAAATGCTCAATAGTTATTTATGAATTTATTCTTTAAACATCTAAGTTCTTAAAACAATCCTTTAGTTTATAATTTTACAATTTATCAAGAGATGAAAATTTACATGGGGTAAAATATACTTTTCTATCTTTCAAATATAATAAATTTTGGAAAAAAATGTTTTGTACAAAATATAACATCTTCATCTATTTTCATAGTTGAGGAAAACTGTGAATTTATAATCATCAATGCTAAAAAGAATACTTCTGACAAAATGAAAGAAATATATTTAGGACAATTTCAGAAATTGTTAAAAATTCGGTTGTAAAACCAATCCAATATCTATTTATTTTTAATTTTGTAATTTATATTTATGTAAAGAAGATTGAGCATTGTACACATAACCTAGTTTAGTGGCAAGTTCTTTGGACTTTCCTTTTCTAGTCTGGCAATAAGAATCACAGATTTAGGAGGCAGGATGTTATCTTCCCAGTGGTGGCAGTTGTCATTGTATTTTTCATTGTAAATGGTCCCAGTATCTTCCAACAGCTTAGTGAGAGTGCCCTTGTCTTCCAAATTAAACTGTGTGAAGGCAACAGTGATTAGTATCTTCCTGTGATTGCTCATGGTATATATCCAATTGAGCTGGTGATTTTCCTTTTTGTCCTGTGTTGAAAATTGGGGGTCCCCTATTGCAACATTTAATAATCTTTTATGAATCTCAACTTGGTACCTCAGCAAGAAAATTTTAATGTAAACATACTAATGATCTATGATCCAAAACTATTTTAATTGGCTTCTTTAATGATAAGAAAATACATCTGTTTTCTGTAAACAAAACATTATATTCCTATTCAAATAATATACTATGAACTCAACTCTAGGCTAAGGTTTTTCTTTTTTTATTATTGTGGCAGAATTTTTATTGAAAATCATTTTAGACTTTTTCAGGGAAAATTACAATTACTCGATATTTATCTCTTTGTGTTCCATAGGATTATTGACTGGCTAGAAGAGTTCCTTACAGAATATCACATCACATTTAAACAAAACAATTCTGTATCAAATTCACTGAATACAAGGCTGATTAATAAATGCTCTTGTGTGGAGAAACCTCACCAATTGGAAATGGAAGATGGGCAAAATTTGGTGGAGCCGTCCTCAAGCTCAGGATCTACTCACGCCTACATGGCGTGCTCCCCGGGCATGGTGTGTTTGAGAATCATTTTACTTTGAGTTTTTTGTCTGTGATATAATTCTTGTTTTTAACTTAATACACAATTAAGTTATTTGATTTACATATGCAAGGTAAGATCCTAATAATATGTATTTTTTTCAAAGTAATTTTATTAAATTATAAAAGTTTCCATTTCCGCCCCTACTCCCAACACCCTCCCACTCCCCCCACTCCCTCTCCTCCTCTCTCTTCGTCCCTAAGGGCAGTCAGGGTTTCCTGCCCTGTGGGAAGTTCATGTTCCTCCCCCCTCCCTCCAGGTCCAGGAAGGTGAGTATCCAAACAGACTGGATCCCCAAAATCAAGTATATGCAGAGGAAACAAGTCCCAGTGTCATTGTCAATGGCTTTTCAGAAAGACTCTGGGCCAGCCACATTCAGAGAATCCGGCCAAATTCAGAGAATCAGGTTGGATCACGTCCTCGTTCAGTCCCAGTCCAACTGGCCTTGGTAAACTCTCATTAGATCCGTCCCCTTGTATCAGTGGGTGATAGCATCCCTCGCAGTCCTTATTTCCTTTTTCATTTTCTTCGTCCTTCTGCTCCTCATTTGGACCTTGGGGGGCTCAGTCCGATGCTCCAATGTGGGTTTCTGTCTGTATCGCCATCCATCGCCAGATGAAGGATCTATGGTGATAAGCAAAATATTCATCAGTATGGTTATGGGCCAAGGCCGGTTCAGGCACCCTCTCCTCTGTCCAGAGAACAATCTGGAGATCTCTCCTTGGACCTGGGATCCCATATATAATCAAGTCTCCAGTAAACCCTAAAATGACTCCCTTAGTTGAATTATATTCTTCCCTGATCCCATATTCATCCTTCCTCCCTCCCCCCCATCCCAGGCCACCGAGCTTTCCCCATTCCTCCCCTACTCCCTTCTCTCTAACCCTCTCCCCTTCCAACAACCCTCCCACCCACCCCCCCATGCACCCGAGGTTACCTGGGACTCTTGTCTATTTCCTACCACCTGGCGGATAGCTAAATAAATCTTCTTCAGGTTGATCTTATTTAGCTTCTCTAGGATCACGAATAATAGGCTCAAAGACCTTTAATTATGGCTAGAATCCACTTATGAGTGAATACATACCGTGTTCCTCTTTTTGGGTCTGGCTTACCTCACTCAGTAAAGCGTTTTCTATTTCCATCCATTTGCATGCAAAATTCAAGATGTCACTGGTTTTTACCGCTGAGTAAAACTCTAATGTGTATATGTTCCACACCTTTTTTAACCATTCTTCTATTGAGGGGCACCTAGGCTGTTTCCAGGTTCTGGCTATTACAAATAGTGCTGCTATGAACATAGTTGAACAAATGCTTTTGTAGTATGTTAGGGCATCTCTAGGGTATATTCCCAAGAGTGGAATTGCTGGGTCCTGAGGGAGGTTGACTTCCAGTTTCCTGAGAAACCGCCACACTGATTAGGTTACGGTTTTTCAGGTAATGTTTGATGGCTCTAACCAAGACAGCAGTGAAAAAATCACAGTATAACTTAAACAAGCACTGTCAGCAATATCTCATATTTGTCAATATAATTTTTAGTTAAATTTGAATAAATAGCTTTGTGGTTTTTAAAACATAAAAATTAATTCCACATACATTCATACATATATTCATCCAGCCTCCAATAGTGTATACATACATATATGTACATATGAATCAAATAAAAGATAAAAACTATAGCATTAAGAATGCTAAATATAATTAAAACTGCAAGATAAGAAACTCACAATCACTACTTTTATACTATGTTAATAGAAAGGTAGAAATTCACAAAATGTGATAAACACTTGGACAACAAAGAACACTAAAATGCACATTGATAACTATCTGATCATTTCAAAGAAAAATCACAACCAATTATCACTATTTATCTCCTTAAAAATCTAAATTGGAAATAAGAAAAGGGGTGCAGAGTCAAAATATACAGTAAGTAGAATTATGTTTTTTTTAAAAAAATGTATTATTTTTTGTGTCCTCGTCCATTTTGTTTGAGGTAAGGTGTAACTGTGAAGAACAGGGTGGTCTCAAACTCACAGCTAACTGTTAGAATTATAGCTGTATATAATCATGAAAGTTGTTG